GAGTGGATGCGAGTGGGTTTGAGGGTGAATGGGTGTGGGTGTGGGTGTGGGTGAGGGTGTGAGTGTGGGTGTAGGTGTCAGTGGGGTATGATGTAGGGTGTGGTTTTGATGGGGTGTGGTTTTGATGGAGTGTGGGTGTGGTGAGTGTGGGTGTATATATGGGTGTGGGTGGCTGTGGATGTGAGTGTGCGGGTCTGGGTGTGCGTGAGTGTGGGTGTAAATGTTGGGTACGTTTGGATGGGTTGGGGTGTGGGTGTGTGTTTGGACTTGGGATTAAATGAAACGTGTTCTTATGCATCCCACAGCGAGGCCCACACTGATCCTGCACCTATATGCTCCTTATATGTTTTGCAACTGAAAGTTTAGATTTGAGGATGGTTGGAAAACCTATTGAGGCAGTATTCTTCGATATTTTCTGGAATTTTTAGTGGGGCGTGGTAGCTAATGCTACTATGCTTGTTGTTTATGGAAGTTTATTTAATGAAATGAAGGTCGTTCGATTATCTTTAGTTCTCGATATAGTTTGTTGGTTTATTACGACGAGGTCCCATGAAAGTACACTGCGAGTATTAGCGGCGATGTTGGTAAGAAAACTATGTTGTCATTACTGGTTCTTTCTGAAATCCGTACTTAAGAAAGTTTTCTGATATGGCGCGTGTGAAATGTAGCTTTTGTTGTAGTGTATAGCTGTCAAATGCTGCTTGGGATTCGGATTGAATGCGCAAGCAATAGTGACTTCCTACGGATACAGCGGGTTTACACTGTTCAAATTCTTTTCATTCTCTTTTATCTTGATGGCTTTTATTTCAAATAGAGTTACATAGAGGTTTTACAAATGATCTAATGGCTATAATTGTATAACGGACAGATTTCGAGCATGCAATATAGAGTTTTTTTTATCAGTTAGATGGTTTGCCTGAAGATCACGGCACTCTTGGGATGTTGTTGTTTTAAACAATGAATTGAAAACGTTTCCGAGTACTTTGTGCTATTTTATCTAATCTTTTAAGTTCTTCTATTTGGGCCGTTGATGGTTTAACTTAAAGTGTTCCAAATTCGAATGAACGTATGATTAGTAAATCGTCAAGTCTCTTTACACGAGATAATGGAACATAAACCGATGCGAGTTCAATTGGACCAGGCGGCATCACCAGATCGACGATAATTTTACCGAGTGTTTGGCCTTGGCTTTTATGTGTTGTCATGCTGTATGCGGGTATAAGTGGAAGTGCTTTACGTTTGACGGTGAGTTTTGTTGTTTTCTTGTTTATTTTGGCTGCTTTTGCTACATTTTCTGGAAGAAGTTCTTTGGCGTCGAACAAGAATGTTTGTTCACTAATAGCTATAGGAACTATTTTGGACTGCAGTTCAGCAAGTTTGGTATTAAGTTTGCAACCAGGAAATTCTACTAAAGCGTACTTTGGTTGCGTTATAAACTTGGTATTTGGTGGAAAATTCTTATCCTGGTATCGAACATCTTCTGGTGATTCATCGTATACAAGTTGACGAAAAATTCCACGTGTACCGTTGGAGAGTCCCAGTTCGGTAGCGATGTTTTCTGTGAGTAAAACTGGCATTCCTGGTACGAGAGGCAGATACCCTGGAAGATGTTCGGTTTTATTGTCAGGTAGTTCAAGTATGGCTTTACGTAATCGTAGATCATTCACTGGTTTTCCTTGAATATAATCTTGAGCAATGCATACAATTGGGGTAAGTCCTATTTCCATTGTTTTGTTTAAGACAGCTCTATTATTAATTTGAGTGCGTAGCGTATTCCGAAAAACCAGTATTGGAGCCTATTGAAAGAAAAGTAATGTGATACACAGAGAAAATGAATGTGCATACTTCGTTCCATGGCTTTTGTTGTAGAGATACTTGAAGTTTTGGATTTCCTATGACTCTCGTACACAGAAGTTGGTAATCTTCTATTGTCGATTGCCCATGTCTTAATCTATTTAAAAGCTCCAAATATCTTATGTCTTGGGTTCGCATTTGCTGAGTTAATTCAACAACGCAGTTTATTTCAGACATAAGTTTCTGTGCACACAACATATCTATCTGACGTTCTGTAATTTGCTGTGTCGATGCGCAGCTATAGTAGAGAGGCTTGTCTAAAACAGGAGAATATTGAAGATAGTCGCCAAAGAAAATGACATTGACACCACCAAAAGGTATCTCAGAATTTACGTGCTTGGCTGTTTTCACTATTCGATTGAGACGAGCTAATAGGCTAAGTCCTACCATACTCATCTCATCGATTATCAAGTACTTCACATGACGCCATTCATTTTCCAATTTCGTATCGCCAGGTCTAAATGTACGGGTTTGTTTCTTTTTACTGTTTTTGCGACTTTCACCTAAAAATGAATGGATAGTTAATCCGTCAATTTCAGCTGCTGCTATAGACGTTGGTGCCATTTTACGCAACATCTTGTCCCTCTTGGTTACTTGGAAATATTTGGTAATTGCACGAATCAACTGAGATTTTCCAGTGCCACCGCAACCAGGTATGCACATTAATAACTGATTATCGATAGTATCTAAATATCAAGACTATTCAAAATTTTCAATAACAAAATCAATAAAATATTATATACCGGTATAAGCATGATTTTCGCCATCTAAGTGACTAGTTATAATCATAAAAGCATATTTTTGCTGAGTATTTAGTGTAAATTGTTTGACGATATTCTGTTTTGTGGGAAATAAAACCAAATTGGTTGCAGTTACAAGTAGGACTCTCGTAGCTTTCGTTTTAATTGGGCTTGTTGGAATTTCAGCACCTACGACTTCAATCTGTGTTTCATCATCTCGTACTTCCAGAGTATCTTCACCTGAAATTAAATAGTTTCTTGTTTCGTCTCGTCGGGCTTCAATATCACGTTTCCACTCTTTAATCGTGGTCGTATGATGCTCGCGAGCTACGTCAAATATGTGGACGTCGTGTATGATACCATAATTATTTTCGCCCGGACAACGTGTACGGTCAAAATCAAACTAAATGTTTTCGAAATATGACAGTAATCAACTCACCATTGAGTAGTGCAAATCTGTCTCTATTATCAATTGCTTCTAATGCATCATGAACATAGCGTTATTCTTGAGTAACTGTCAATGCAGAGTAAGCGTTTGTGGTGGTCTCAATTACGATGGAGAGCATTTGCAAAAGTTGTTCCGGATCATCTTCGTCTGCATTTTCATCCCCTTCATAGTAGTTAGGCATCAAAATAGGGTCAATGTTGTTTTCATTTTGTGCTTCTAAAAGAACTTGATGAAGGTGCTCATCTCGATCGTGTTTGCATTCGTGCAAAAGTTCTGTATTTTCTATAATCTTAAGCGAGTTGGAAGAGATCAATAATCTTCGAGCTTCCAATGCTTCTGACCATGTCTCATTCAGTGCACAAAGGTCCTGAACTGATCGCCATGGAACGAATAATGTTAACAATGCGCGACAATAACGTTCATGCCTTTCTTCTCGTTCGCGGCGAGGTATTTGAGGACCTATCAGGACTGCTACTACTGGAATGGAACGTTTAATTATGAGATGAGATAATGATTGCGGATGTGCGCTGTCAAATGTATGATGTTCATTCATTTTCGTTCCTTCTGTAGGTAATTGTTGGCCTTGAGAATTGGTTACATTCTTTAGTAAACGACGATCCGATTTGTCGATAACCTTCTTATGAAAATGGCTGACGAAATCATATAAACACACTGCACTAAGATCCTTTGATCGATGCTGATAATCAAGACGAGTATTGACCAAGACATACTGATCGCCGTTGTTGGTTTTTGTGGGTTCTAATAAAAATTGTTCTTCGATTTCGTTTTTATCTTCTCCTTGCTCATCGTAGAAAGGCGTTGAAGTCTCTAGAAAACAACATGTTAAAAATCTATACAATTATTTTAAAAAGTTCTACCATCTATTCTCTCTTCAACAATTTCTTTTTCGTTAATTCGTGCTTTATTTAGTTCTGTTTGTTGATAGTTTTTGATTGAAGTGAGAAAAAGATTTTTGAACGTATATGTAGTGTAATGGTCACCATAGTTCATTAGATATGACGCAACTTGAACACCTGAAACTTCTTGTTGTGAAGCAATCATATTGAAGCAGCGTAACACTAGTTTACGCGATTTGTCAACAATATTATCTGTGCTATTAGAAATTCGTTCATGCTCGATAGATTTGATGCCTTGTTGTGCCAGCGCAAACATATCATAGAAGGCCAGAGTAGACTTTGTTACATAATCAGTCATATAGTAAACTAATGCTTTAGCGTCATTTCCACTCCAGATGAACTTAATGCCCATGTTCGATCGACATGCAGTTAAGAGCCATTCGTTGAAGTTATTGATCCACGGGTGCGATCGACGCATAGTTATTTGTCTCGTCGTAGGATCAATATTAGAAACCTTCACTAGTGCACGTGGCATGCGTCTTCGACAAATTTTTGAACTCTCATTTTTGCCTTTAGAATATTTATAGCAAGCTGCAGAATGTTTGTGAATATTGCAGGTTTCGACCAATTGAACTGCATCTTTGCGAAACGTTTGATCGAAGTCTTCCAATGCAGGATTTGGTGTCGGGAGACATGGTGGTATAACTTCACTTGCTGTCGATTCAATTTGTTCTAAGATGAAGTGAGAATTATAATTAAAGATCTACTAAAAGCTTCAAAGCTCACCAATTAATGTTCTATCATCACTTGTCGTACTTGTTCCGTCGTTGGTTTCATCTTAAAAAAGAATATTGATATTCAAAAGTACAAAAAATAGAAGTCTCATAAATATATATTAAGAATAAGTGATCAGAATGAAATATGTTTTGCATTAATAAAAATTTTAACGATGTTCTGAAAGCTCAAGTTCGAGGTAAGGCAGTGATACACTATCAGGGTGTAAAACAGCATCAAGTAGGCAAATGTAACAACTTCAAATGACAGATTCGAACAATGTTAAATATATTACCTCGAAACGAATCTAAATCTTCTTTTATAATATCTTCTAAATATTTTAGTAAATTTTCACGAAAATCTTGATTTTGAATATTTTCTTTCAATTGTGCTGGAGTATATTCATGATTGAGCCAAATCAAGAGATGTAAATGGAGCGATCCTCTTCCTTGACTTTCTACAGTGCCGAAATACGCTTTTGCAGAACCAAGTACACCGCCCAGTAGTAGGCTTTTCAAAACGCTTTTTATTAAACAGTTGAAGAACTTTGCAGTTGCAACAGAGTGTGTCGCGACAATTTGAGCACGCTCATAACTTGTACGCAGGACTTCTGGCAGAACGTTATCAAGATCGAGATCGACACCTCCAAAGTAAAGTGCCACTGCACCATGGATGTTGGCCGGATTGATTGTGAGGAAAAGGCTAGGAAGACCAAGATAAAAACATAAAGAGATGAATTTTCGTACGAAGAGCTGATTGGGAATGAGCTGAACCCATGACGTGACCACCAATAATTTTGATGTGCTTCATCAACGTATTTATTCTCTCGTCAGTAACTTTTGAATAAGACGCTTTTGAGATATGAGTAAGGGCTGCTGCTACATCCTCAGAACTCAATGAGTTAAGAACTTGTGCAGATTGTTGAAACCATGATCTTGTTGTCATTAATTGGGCGTGGAAACATGCTGTTCGGCGTTGTAAAATATTGAAGACAACGAATATAAATGAATAGTGTTCTTCAAAGCGGCGATCTGCATACGAAAGAAGATATCTGAGATGCTCACGAAAATTGATTTGAATCGGTCGAGAACCATCCTCAAGCCCACCACATTCATATGGGAATAGGGTAGGAAAGATTTCTAATAAAAGATTTGGATTAGAATATTCATTGGCCGGTTTGTTGCCACGAGGAATTATATATACAGTGTCTTGTTTAGAGTTTTGCTCGGTGTCTTTTCCGTGTGCTTTTTCTGGCACTTGTGCTTTGATTCGTTCTAAAAGATGTTCAGCAACTTCATCAGACGACACTTTGGTACTATTGACATCTAACACAGCACTATAACATAAACAATATTAGTACCAAAATATCAACATGTCTCTTTGTCTTACCTTGAGATTATAGGTATAGCTGTTGTATTGTTAAATTCAGATGCATTGGTCAACAGATCAGGAAGGTAACTTGCTCTTTCATTTTCAGCTGCTTCTACATTAGTAGAAACTTCCATGGTTGCCCATAAACACTCCGGTACATCATCTTCAGGTAATTTGCTGATTATTAATTGACTAATTGTAACATTACGATATAGAGCATTATTCTGTCTAAGCCTTTGAAGTGCTTCGAAAACTTTCTTTTTTCGAACGGTCAAAACATTTTTCAATTGGTTTCGTTGATGAGGACGACATCCAACAAAGATTATCTTTAGAGAATCACATAGATCATCTAAATCTAGTGGTAAGGTAGTCGCTATGTTAATAACATCTTGGGGAAAACTTATGCAATTCCTTCTTAAAGCTGACTGAGCTGTACTTGTCGAATGAAAAGACGAATGTAACTTGACAATGCAGCCATTGTGCCGCTAAAGAGCGATCAGTTTTTCCTCATGAATTGTTAGTCCTTGTAGTTCTTCTGGGACATCTCCAGCCCATATTTTGTTGGCAGGCGAAAATTTCGGTACTTTCCCTTTTATTAGAGACGACCAACACTCCGAACAAATGTCGCAGTGTATCGAATATCGTTTTTTTCTCTCAACAGTTTTATGCAATCCTGCTTCATAAAAAACGATACCGTTTACATAAGTAAACTCCTGTTTATTCATTGTTGATTGAGCATGCGTATCTATAATTAAAAAAATTATTTACTGTATTAGTTTACGTACTAGCGAGACTAACCTGCTGCTCTTTCTTTCTGAATCAACGCCTTGGCAAGATCACCACTCATGTTAAGCTTATCATGTGACTGGAATTGGTACGTTTCCTGCATTCCCGGAATTATGTCATAAAAATCGTTGGGTACTTTCAGTAATTCAATAGACGGTATTTTACTGAACGGTATATGGTAGAAATCACGTTTGTAGCAACGAACATTACAAATACCGCAAACACCTACTTGCAGAGAACTCATCGACATATGTTGAATAAAGTTCTGTAAACAGTTTTTCTTACGTTCAATATCAATAGGTTTTGGTCATTCAAAGTCGTTACTTTCTTGTTGGTGCTTGTCGCTTTATCGAAGCCACTTTCTCTGACGAGCAGATGCACGCTGTCATTCGAGTTCATCAGATGTATAAGTAGCTTGTCTTGCGGTACTTCTTTTGCAAGCTACCACACACTGTTCTTCAGCTTCTTTTGGTGATGCAGTAGCTCGTTTATTCATACTTCGTTCGGCAGCAAGTGTTCGTTGTAGCTGGATCTCTTTCGATGTAAAAGTAGCTCTCCATGCTACAAATTTCTCACGAGTTAGCTCTCGCTGGACTTCGATTTCTTGCACTGTTAAAGCAGTTCTTCTGGCTGCACTTCTGTCTCGAGTCATAGTACGTTCATGTTCAAGTTATTCTGATGTTAAAGCAGCTCTTCTAGCTGCAATTCTTTCTCCTGCAAGGGACCGCTCTAGTTTAGCTTGTTCTGATGTAAAGGCAGCTCTTCTGATAGCGCGTCTTTCGCTTGCAAATATCCGCTATCTTTCAGCTTCCTCTGGTGTAGCTTGAGCTAGTTTAAAAGCCATTCTTTGACAAGCTTGTAATCGTCTTTTGTCAATATTCGTGTTCTTCGCGCTCGTGTGAGTCTCACTTGCTTGTAGTATTCGTTTAGTTCGAGAAGTTGTTGCGGTTTCCTGGCTTACCATGTAATAGGTCGATGATGTTTGAAATTGTTGAATTTTATTATTCTCCATGTTAAATTCAGGAATGCGAATTCGAGTTAGTACGTTATTCTTCGTTGTTGAATTAGTTGGCGTCTGCAAGTGAAAGTGTGTTTTATTTGTGTAAAAAGTTCTGTACTAAAACATTAAACTCACCAAGCGTGACACAGTGGATTTCGGTTCAGTCACGTTACTTTGATTCTGAGACTCACTCGATGGAAGTAAAAGTGGTACGAAATTATTAGGTGTCCAATTATCAACATTACTTTTACTTGTGTCTCTTTCACTTTGAGTATGTAACCAGGATATATAAATTGTTTTAGATGAAATACTGGATTGAGCATGCTCAAACGTACTATTCATGATGTCTAGATCAGGTCGATAATCAATTCTAGGATATATAACTCGTATATTGCATTGAAGAACATTGCTCAAGGCTGCGATTTCATAAAGTTCCGAGAATGAAAAATGATGGGTGATATTTTTATCACCTCATTGAGTGGTCCAACAATATGTGCAAGGCGATTGCTGTAGAGAGTTTCATTTTTTACGAGTTCTATTACATTTTGAATTAGAAAGATTGTATTAACAGAACTGAATAGTAAAGTTGGAAGTACCTACCTCTCGGTTCGCAAGATATCAAAACTGTATTATCAGTCAAACATACGATAGAGTTATAGAGACAATTGCCATCTGCAATGACGTCAATTGTAACCATATTTTGAACGCCTAAAGATGTCCGCTGAAGATATGATTTGGCTTCTTGGTCTACCTTATGAATAACTAGGTTGAAATGAGTAACGCGTGCAAATCTTATCGGTGTTAAAAGCCAGTCCATCTAAATTGCTGAGACCATATAAATCGAAACCTCTTTTGCGAAAACTTACGACCCTGATTTGTCCACAAATAGCTTTGATTCGATCATAATAGCCGTCAGCTGTGGATGCCTCGTCAAGTTCCATTAAAAGTATTTTAAATACTTTAAAATGATTTGTTTTGAGACAATTTAAGCAGCAAGAAGCTTTTGTCAATTTAGAACAAAAAGGGACACCGATAGGTGTGGATGTGGGTGTGGGCATGGGGTACGGGTGTAGGCTTGGGTGTTCATGTAGATGTCCTCGTCTCACAGCCACACGCACCCATCGCCACACATTCACACCCGAAATGAATTCTCTTCCTCAAGGCTGGGTTTTGTCCATACGTAAATCGAGCATACATATTTTAGATGAACAGTGTAGGTACTTCAAAAAAAAAATTAGATGAAGGCGTTTCCGGTATGAAACGTTGGAAACCGAAACAGTTTGTATTAGATAGGGAGACCTTGAAAGAAAACGGCAAGCTTTACTTTTCGGCTATCCAAGTTTAAAATGAAAATGAGGTTTGCTCATTTTTCTGTCAACTAAAACGCGAACAACAGATGATTACCACTCAAAATTTGTCAAATAGTAAAGTCCTCATCGAAAATAAACCCGTCAAAAATACTGGTAATGATATTGAGAACGAGGAAATTGACTTTGAACTTGAAACATTAAACTAAGATTTTCAAGATATTGAAATTGCTCTGTAAGAGATCAAAATGCTAGCAAGCTTTAGTATGAATGCTAAAATGGCACTTGAATCATCTCTTTAAATGTATTCCCAGCTACAACCACTCCTCTGACATTAAAGAAAACCAAATAAAATATAAAACAGAACCAGGTTTACCGGATTAGGGCTAAGTCATTCTAAATAAACGGATGGGTACGGTTTTACCGAGTTATGCTCGCGTGAACATACCAATGGGCACGGATTTTCTGAATAATGACCATTGATAAAGAATTATATTGTTTGCATGAGTGCGGCTTTTCCAAGTACCCTCATACGTAGACAATAAAGGGACATGTGTTTTCCAAATAATGTCCCTCCTCTTCAAGCATCATGGGCTCTACGTGCCGAAGAGGAGAAGCACGGATAAGATTCCCCTTAAACGTGACCATCAATCCTGCGTCTTGTATAAAGTAAGTGTACAGCTATTTAAACAATACTTTAACTTCCACTGAAGTAAAATTGAACGTTAATCGACTTATAAAGTGTTTTCAGCTCTTTTGCATAACATGATGCTAACCCATTTTACCTTCGTAAATTACGATAAATGATAATTCAACAGTTTATATAGACGATTTGCTTATTGAAATATATCGTACTTGTGTGAAAAATACTTTAGATACATCATAGTCTTCTTAAACTTTTGTTCGTTTTTCAGAAAAAAATATTCAAAATAATTTTTTCCCATAGACACTGTCCAATTGATCAACGTTGTAAGCCATTTTTGGACATCATTCGAAATCTTTTTTATTTTTTTTTATAACAATTTTGTCGAGAGAAAAAAGTCGTATAGCTTATAAAATATTCAGCGCAGGATCTCTTAAAATGACTAAACGGAAGCTGATACACTGTAATATATTGCTAAAAGATAGTCTCATTTTTCCACTAGAAAATAACGAGTTATAGATAGTATTTCATAGATAACTCTCGATTAGTCCATGGAAATCTAACATATTAAAAGATGATTTTGTTCAGCGTCGAAGCCGTATCTTTTGGTATATTACACGAAAAATTTCATAAAATTATTGTCATCTAAAAGAATCTTAACTTTCTATGCAGGATTTTTTAGTTTTCCTCAACTAAGACTCTTACCCTGTGATAGGTGCATTCGAGCTAACTTTCCAATGGCTCAACGAAATGCTCTAAAAGTTTGCATTTAGCGGTTTTAGATGATGCTGAACAAAATAAGAACATAAAAACAAAAATTCAAATTTTATCGAGTACTTCAATATCTACCACGATACTCGATCATCTCACGGACTCTCTCTTAAAAGCTTGGAGCCTCTTCATGGAAGAAGCAGTTTTGTCAAATACGATCTGAAAAGAATGTTGAACTCTTTAGAGGTAGACATATGGACTCACCTCCCTTTCCTTCCCACAGACCATGACAGACAAGGTCTGGAGTTTGTTTATCGTCTCTCTTTAAGTTAGGAAGTACTGATTTTGTCTTTTAAAACTCAATTACTAAGTTATCGTGTGTGTGACTATTGGTTCATGCATTCCAAGTTGAACCTGACGTTGCTTGCAAACGAAGCAAAACTGAGGTTTTGTTAATTATTCTTTTATCACAAACAAACAAAATATTACGCATTTTCGTCTAAAATGCAGTAGTATCATTCTTTACACTGCAGGAAACAGAACGCTCTTGTTGTATCTTACTCCGTTTTAAAAGTTTTCATATTGATGTTGAAGCTTTGTTTTATACACCTATTTTCAAAAATATCATTCATAGAACACATTAATCGATACATTCCCTGAAGAATTTGTTTGATTGCGGAACTTACGTACATTTTCAAAGAAAATAGTCAGTATAAATTTTAAGACCAAGATGTTCCAGTTCCCCTCCTCCTCCACCCCATGACAGGCACATAGCAACAGGAACAGAAGATTACTGGTGTAACCCCTCTTCTCCCACCCTCTCCCCACTCCCATTACAAACAGGCCATTAGTACAGACCTCAGCAATTGCGCAGAATTCAGATCTTCTACAATTTTCTAGTGCACTCATAATTATTCGAAACGAAGACTATTTTTTAGTTTAGAAATAATGCATTATGATAACAACTCGGAAGCACATACGTAAGTTCCACATTTCAGCTCCAAAGGAGCTGCGTTGACAAGCTTTTGCACTTGTTTTCTTAGCATACTTTTTCGGTTATTTGTGAAAAGAAAAATACCACAACTGCTTTTTTTCATTTGAATTTTCGTTTCCTCTTCATGAAATTAAAGAAGACCATAAAAATCTTTATTGGGCTTAACCTTGAAAATAATAAAAATGTCTACAAAAAAATTGAAAATAAAATATTGTCTCTTTATCAGGCGCAAAGCCAGATTTAACTAAAAAATAAAGAGTAAATAATCCAAAAAAGATCAGATAGAATTCGTGCCAAAAAAAAATCGTAATCGTCTGAAACTATTTTTCCAGAAACTTGATGAACTATCGAATGTAGTTACCAAAGCCTACCGAAAGCAGTGGTCCCAAAGCATGTCTGCAATGAGTATTGTAGTTCAGTTCGGAGCTACCACTCTAATTAAGAACATGATCAAACTGGGAGTACACTCTAAAGCTAAGATACCAACTGAGGACAAAAATAGAACGCAACTGTTATAAAAATGAGTACTGCTCCATGAAAAGCTTTGGGATAGTACAGAACAATGAGTAATAACTAAGCGAGATGCTTCCCTTGATAGAGTGACTACGGAACAGAATCAGTCTGACAGATCTTGATACCAAGGTTGAAGTTGATAATGTAATTGATTCTATCGATTGAGAGTGTAACTTGTGTCAGAAGCTGATTTCCCACCGAGATAGATAACAGAATGATGATTTGAATTACATTCGAAATAAAAATAACGACTAGAAAATGAATCTGAATCAAAGCAAGGATACTCACGATGATAGTGGCCGAGGCAGATGTCGAAAATGACTCTCAAGTTTCTTTGAGGGTCAGAAAGGATACCGAGGACCGAACCTCATCCAAATGTCGATTTTTGAGGAGGAATATGTGTTTGGACAAGAAATGCTTCCAAAAGTGGTAGTAGAAACCAATATCTTTTGTCATAGGCAGAAGGGACCATTGAGCTCGTTTTTAACAGGATCGATGATATAAATCAGCGTATTATTAGTTGTGAAGCCTGTATATTTTACGTATCCTGTGCAATGGTAGAAAGAAAAAGAAAAATAAAATCGTGATATTATGCACATTTTTCCAACAATCGATTAACTTTCCCTCTTTATTATTCAAGCTGTCTCATCGATAAGTGATAGAACAAGCAAAAGAATAATAACATTTTTGTGGGAAAAAACCCAGTCTGTTTCATTAATATATGATCATGCTTTATCCAACGTATACGGTTGAATGCACGCCAGCCAAGCATTGTTTCGATATGTACATAAGCAAAAGAATAATAACATTTCTATGGGGAAAAAACCCAGTTTGTTTCATTAATATATGATCATACTTTATCCAACGTATACGGTTGAATGCACGCCAGCCAAACATTATTCCGATACACATATAAGCAAAATATTACTTTCATTTTCTTTATTAAACAACATTGATACATTACCAAGGTATTATATTCGTTATTACAATATTCGTCAATATCGTTCTATTACAAGAAGCAGACGTAAGTCTTTTGATATTGCAGTCTCTCTCGTAAGCCCTTTTAGTCTATCGGTGTTCAGAAGACTTTTCTATCCTGAAATGATACCAGTAATTAAGTATAGTTTATGTGAGTTTTATACTGTGTCTAAATGTATGAAAAGAAGAAAATGAAAGTAAATATTGGTAATTTTTGCCAGTTTTATGAAAATAGTGAAGAAGCTAGTCATTTTTTCTTGTTAATGCAGACTGTTTGCAGCTATTCGTGCATTTAATGAAAAGGATAGCAATTAATATGTTATTGAAATCGATTCTGATCATTTGATAGTTATAAGAAAACCTTGGTGATTTATATCTGTGCTCTCTATGATTCAGACAGACACTGGAACTATTTCTTGTACATAGATAGCTATTCGCATGTCTTGAAAAACTGCAAAGAAAAACAGATTAGGAAAATCTGGACAATATTCTTTCCAACTCGGAACGACTGAAATGATTCGAATCTTAAAACCTTACATATTCTTATTAAAATACTATTGTGATTTCACCAAGAGGTGACTTCCATGTTAAATCTTCGTATCGCAGCAGTTTTAAAAGGCATACGAAAAGCCATCTATGTTCAAGAAAACACAACGGTGTCTGTTGAAACGACAGACAAAATGGATAAAAATTGGCTAGATGTTCTAACAACTTTCCAACAGAACTGATTTTGAAAGTATATTTCTTCCACTTCTTTCATATGGTTATATCCATGCTCTGAAGAGATCTATCCAT